CGGGGAACCAGGCCGGCCTCCCTCCACGTGGCCGCCGCCTTTCCCTGGAAGGGATGGGTCGCTGGTTTTCCTCTCCGGCTTGGCCTCTGCTGTGCTGCCTCAGTTCTGGGAACTCACATTTCCTTTGTCTTTCTTTTTTTAATGCTGCTTTTTCATCAGATTATCGTAAGAGTAACGCATGCTCGTCTTAGAGCGTTATCACCGGGCGGCAGAGGATGGAGAAGAGAATGAACACAGCAATCCGGGCGGCAGGCCCTCGGCGGCAATCGCGGCTTCTTCCCTCAGATATGCGTGTCCTGCGCACGGTTGCGGCCACTTGACATGGTCGCAGGCGCTGTCCTTTGACACGAGCTCTTAGGACAGAGATGTAAGGGCCGCGCAGCGATCTGAGTGCCGCTCTCGCCGCAGGAAGCACAGTCTGTTCCAGGTGACTCAGGGGCCGACTTCCTAGGAAGGGACTCACTGGGTCAAAGGGCATGAAAAGTAAACACTTAGGGAAATATTAACAAAGTAAGTGTAATATCCACACTCGGAGAACTTCAAAACAATGTTTTTTAAAAGATCTGAATAAATGAAGAAACATACCAGGTACTAATTTGGAAAACTCAATATTCCTGAGATGGCGATTCTACTCACATTGATCTATAGATTCAAATGCAACCCTTATAAAAATTCAAGCAGGGTTGTTTTTGTAGGAATTAGCAAATTAATAGGTATGGTGTCAGATGGGTGCTAGACTTATCGGGGTGATCACTTCATAAGTCATATAAATGTCTAATTACTATGTTGTGTATCTGAGACTAACATAATGTTGTATATCAACTGTAATTGAAAGAAATTTTTAATTGTTTTTTAAAAGAAAGAAATTAGCAAATTAATCCTAAAATGCACTGTACATAAAAATGGGAAAGACCTAGAATAGCCAGTATAAGTTTGGGGGGAAAATGGAAGGATCCACATTACCTTATTTCAAAATTTACTGTAAATAACAGTAATGAAGAAAGTGTGATATTGGTATAAGGACAGACATATTGATCAATGGAACAGAATAAAGACCACAGAAATATATATATACAGTGGGGCCTTGACTTACGAGTTTAATTCGTTCTGAGACCGAGCTCGTTAAGGAGCTCGTTAACTCAAATTACTCTAGCAACTCAATGCAAAAAATCGGCGGAGAGACAGCTGGTATCTCAAAAAACTCGTTAGTCAGGACACTTGTAAGTCAAGGCCCCACTGTATTTTTTATAAAAGGACTCAATGCATATGGACAGACGGCTTTCCAAAAAGGTTGTTCAGTTGAAGCTCCCGCCAAGGGTGGCAGGGTCATGGCAGCTGTAGGACCCATCACAACACTTGAGATGGACCAAGGAGGCTCAGGCAGCTGCAGGGAGCGGCGGGGGGCCCAGCACCCTCCAACCGCCTGTCCTCCTGGGCAGTCAGGCCCGGCCGCGCTCCAGGTGAAGGACGTGAAACTCAGGCCGGATGTGCCCCGGGCAAGGCTGCCCTCCTGTTCTTGGAGCCAGGGTCGTCCTGACCCCTCACTGCCCCTCATCCCTCATGCCCAGTCTGTCTGCAAATGCTGTTAGGCTACCTTCCAAACACATCTCAGATGTGACCACCCCCCACCCCCGCCCTGGCCCATCTCTGCCTGGGTGACTCAGCAGCCCCTCGTTACCTCCCCCCAATCTTTGCCCCATGAAAGTCTGTCCTCCGCAGTAGGCGGAGAGATCTTTTAAAAACAGATCAAATCAGGGTGGTCCCCAGCTCAGAGCCCTCCAGTGGCTCCCATCTCACTCTGAGTAAAAGCAAGGACTTACCATGTATGACCTACAAGGCTGTTAGGGTTTGTGCCTCCCCTATTACCCCTCTGACCCCACTTTCTACCACTCCCTCCCTTACCTACTCGGCTCCCTGGTGTTCCTCAGAACATCCAAGCACATGCCTGCCACAGCCTCGTCTACTCAAATGTCATCTCAAAAACAACCCCAAGCAAATAGGACTATTTTTTTTCTACCTTTGCAATGATGTATCTCAGTCACTATCTCAACTGCCCACCTCCCTCAGCCCTCAGGCCTTGGAATCCAGGTGGCATGTGACTTTGCCTCATGTCTGTAGCCCCAGGTCCAAGCTCAGGGCCTGAAACAGAGCAGACACTCCAGACGAGGTTGGTGGACTGAACGAATGAAGAGGCTGGGATGAAACAGGACCTGTTTTGGAAGGTACTCCTGACCACTCTGTCTAAGACAGCACCCTGGCCACTCTTCATTCCCTCCCCCGAGTCACATATGTCATTACTGTCTGCTTTCCCGCTGGAAGAAAGCCGCCATGAGGGCCATACTCTGCCTACGGTGTTCATTGCTGTACCCCCAGCACCTGACGTACTGCCTGGCGCACAGCAGGTGCTCATTGAAGCTGTTGAATGGATAATTGAACAAAAGGTGTCACCATCTGGGTGTGTGGTTTCTCCTCTAGACTGTACCTGTGGCCAGCTTGTGGACAGCACCCAGCACATAGCCAGTACCCGTCTAGTGTATGAATACATGACAGGGGCAAGCGGTGGAGGGGTGGGGGGGTGGGTTGGAAGCAGGGCCCGAGAGACCGCTGATGCCGAGACTGGAGTTCCAGATGAGCCCCTGGGCCATTCGCAATCACTGAGGCCTGGGGCTAGTCACTTCACCTCTTTGAACCTTGGTTTTGTCATCCATAAAATGGGCATGATGATACCTGTGCTGCCTGCGTTACAGGGCTGTGTGAGGATTAAATGACAGATATAGGTCAGCAAAGCGCAAAGGCAGCCCTGCTCAAGCTGCAGCTTCGCTCTGAGGCTTCCCCCCACCCCCCACCCCCGCTCCTCCGAGCACCTCTAGACTGTGCGCCCTCGAGTGCGAGGCCAGGCCTCTTCATCTCTGCATCCATCTGCCGGGCACTGTGCCTGGAAGCTGGGCAGTGCCCCTTGGGCATCTGATGACTGATCAACAAATACATTTGTTGACACCTTTAGCCAGTTACCCTGACACGGATAAATCAGGTGGGAAGCTCAGAGCCTGACCGAGGGCTGGGGTGAGGCCACCCAGCTGGGGCTCTGGGTTCTGGGGCAGAGGACCTGCTGGGGCCTCGAGTGTGCCACCTGGGAGGCAGGGAAGGAGGAATGAGGGACCGGCCTGCTCCCCCCGGGATGGCACCTGGCAGCCTCCTCCCCAACATCGCCACAGTGGCCACATCTTCTGGGCTGCAGGGTGGAGGCCTGGCTACCCACCTGCATTCCTCGCTGGTCTGCCCATGACCTCATCCCAGCCGGCAGCTGCCCACGGGGAGAGGCTTCGCCCCACTCCGCAGATGAGGACACGGAGGCTGGCGGAAATGATGCCTGGTCCCATGGCCTCGGGCCCCCCAGAGGGAGGTGGCATGTGGTCATGGAGGTCACTTCTTGCTGTCCATCGGGCTTAAACACCCCATTGATCCTCTCCTCACCCTTCACAAACTCTGGTTGGCTGGCCGGCTGACTCCCTAGGGCTGCCCGAGGTGCCCTGGGTTTGCCAGGCTCGGCTGCTTCCTCCTCCCCCTGCCCCCCCAGGCTCCGTGACCCAGCAGGGCTCGCTGACAGACAGGCCCTGCCGGGAGGGGCGTGGGACGAAGTGAGCGAAACTCCTTTTAGGAAGGAACTCCTGTCAGAGCCAAGGCTGAGAAACCAGCCTCTTGCCAAGACCTGGGGTGGGGAGCCCAGGTGAGACGACTCAGCCCTCAGGAATGGGTGGGGTCTTGAGGGGAGGCTCGCACTTCCTCCCGCCCCAGCCCAGGGTCCTGCTCAATCCTTACCGAGGAGTTTCCTGGGGACAGGCAGTGACCTGTCGGCCGCCCGTGTGGGAAGCAGCTTGGCGTGGCCCTCGCCACCTCGTTAGGGTGACTCACCCCGGACTCACCTGGCTGTCAGGGACCTGTCCCACTCCCCCCAGAACCAGCTCCACCGGCACCCGGAGGGGCAGGGGCCTCTGTTCTCCAGCTCCTCATCTTCCCTGGCACCCAGGGCAGAGCCTGCCTGGCACACAGGCAGCAATCAGAATTCATTCATTCATGTTTGTTCGCTCATAGTTATTGAGCACCTACTGTATGCCAGACTCTGTGCTAGACGCAAGGGATACAAGGCGAGCCAGGCAAACCCAAACCCCTGCCCTCCTGGAATGCACATCCTCACGGGGAAAGTCCCACTGTAAACAAAGCAGTGAATCATACAAGCTCTCCAAGAGAAAAACAGAGCAAGAAAGTGTGAGATAAAGGTTGCAATTTTTAATAGGGTGTTTGGGTGGCCCTCTCTGAGGTGATATTTGAGCAAAGTCTGATGAAGATGAAGATGAAGAAGGGAGCTGTGCAGAGAAGGGAGGGGAGAGGCGCACCAGGAGCAGCAAGTGCAAAGGCCCTGGTGTGGTAGTGCTGGGGGCGGGTATTCCCGGACCAGGGAGGAGGCCCGCAGAGCAGGGGCAGAGCGGCTAGGGGAGCGCAGTGGGTGGTGGGAAGATAGGGCAGAAGAGGCGGGGGTGGTCTAGAGTCTGTGCAGGGTCTTAAAGGCCTTTGTATGAACTTTGGCTTTTACTCAGCTGAATTTTGTCAAAATGCTCCCAAATCCCCCTGTTGTACCCCAGACCAGTCCCCCAGACTTCTTCTGCCTGGCTCAGAGCTCAGAGAGCCGAGTCAAGGGTCAGGGGTGATTTCCCTGGGAAGCGTCTGGAAGGATGAGTTGGTTTGCCGCCTGTGGAGAATGCATGAGGAGGAAGGTGCCTGTTTGGGGGAAACAGTACCCACCCTACAGGGGTGAGTGGAGAGAGGAAAAGAAGGGAGCAGAGGCTGAAAAAGGAAGGTGAGCCCAGTAAGAGAGAGTCTTGCCCAGCTCTCTCCCACCCCCAAGCCTGTCTTCCCAGACTCGTCTGGGACACATCCCACCCGACACCCTGCTCCAACCTCTCTCAGCTCTGGGCCTCTGCACATGCTCTCCCCTCTGCCGGGATTCTCTGCTGCTCTCTGCCTGTGAGCTCCCACTCCTCCTCGCCAAGTGGTCTCTGAGTCTGCAGAGCGGTGCTTCTGCCACGGCCCAGCACGCCCCACTGAGGGGTCTCATTCTCCTTGAGACCACGGCTGTGGAGACCACGGCTGTGGAGACCACGGCTGTGGAGGCCACGGCTATGGAGACAATGGCTGTGGAGACCACGGCTGTGAAGACCACGGCTGTGGTGACCACGGCTGTGGAGACCACGGCTGTGGAGACCACGGCTGTGGGGATGATGGCTGTGGAGACCACGGCTGTGGTGACCACGGCTGTGGAGACCACGGCTGTGGAGACCACGGCTGTGGAGACCATGGCTGTGGAGACGATGGCTGTGGACCACGCGTCCTCAGAGCCTGGAGCAGGTGCTGACCCAGGCGAGTGAGTGCACAAATGCTGGCTAGGATTTGGACGCCTCAGTAGGTTTGGAGCAGAGTAACAAGATCAGACTCACAGGTGGGGAAGGTGACTGTCACTCAGGGCATTTTGGGGGTGGGGCGGTTGGAGGAGGGTAACTGCCCAGAGGCCGCTGCAATCATCCAGGCAGGGGCCAGAGAGAAGTGAGGGAGGGCAGAACCAGGGTGCCAGCGGCTGGGAGTGAGGAGGGGCAAGAGTGAAACATCCACAGGACATCCGCCTGGGCCTGGGCGCGGCGAGGAGGCGGGAGTGGCGGGCGAGGTCCAACTTTCCCTCTTTTATTTTGTGTCCTTCCTTCTGCCCTGACCCTGAACAGAGATCACTCACTCAGACAAGATCGCGCAGTGGTGACAAGCATGAGCCTTTGGGGCCCGACTCTGGGTTCAGATCCCATTTCGGCCACACGTGCTGTGTGACATCGGGGCGGTTCCCTCAGCCTCTGGTCCTCGGTTGACCCACCCGTAAGGCAAGGATGACAAGTGAGGATTAGTTGCTGCATTTTATGATTCCGAGAGTCCCATGTTCACAGTTCTGCCATCGGGTGAATCTCAGAACCAATGGCCTGACTCGCATTCTTTAGTGGCACATACATCACGGTGAATCTGAAGACCCGGGGAGCCTTGGGTTTGATGAGACACAAGGTACATGGAGAAAGCAGTCCCTGGCCCGTCACGAGGGCTGAATAAATGTTAGCTACTGCAATTGTCAGCATTTGCTCTCTGAGCACATCGGTAACCAATGCCCCATCAGAATAAAGAGGTAATTATACTTTGGAGCTAAAACAGAAAAGGAGCTAACTCATAAATAGAGATAAAGGTGAAAACATTTTAGTAATTACGCCCCCCCCCCAAAAAAAAAAACACACCCAAAGCCGAATGCTTCCTCTGAAAGATGCCGTGGAATTCTGCCGAAGTTCCAGGGAAAACTTCAGGAATTTCTCCTTCCCGGCGGGGGCCAGGGCTCCTGGCTCCCTGGCCAGCAGGGGGAAGCAGGGCATGTCCCCGTGACTCAGGGTGTTCCCTGCGTCCTTGCAAATTTCCCTGAGTCACCGTTACTCACTGCCCACAATCAGGGCTCTGCTGCCTTCTGACCAGGAGACCGATGCCCTGGGATCAAGGGCCGCCCTCAAACAAAAGTGCCATTATAGCAAGTTCAGCGCCCTGTGGGCGTCCCTGCTCAGCAGAGGAGGGTGACCCTCGCCGTCTTATTCTTGGCCTCCTTCCTGGGTTGCGTTCCTGCCTACTGATCTTGCAAATCCCCGGCCACTCGCCTTGTTTTCTCTCCTCACTTAAGTACATGTCTGGGAAAAGCCGCCACCCCCACAGACCCTGCTGTGTGTGGAAATGGTGACAGGCTTGGAGGAGGAGAAGCTGGTGGCTGGTTCGAGGAGCCTCCCTCTGGACGAGGGAGGGAGAGCTGGCCCAGGCAGGCGCTCTGAGGTGCAGCTGCTGGGGGCAGTGACACCCCCAGGGCCAGTCCTGCGTCCCTTGGCCTCGGCCAGGGCGCCCACCCAGCTCTTCTCCTCTTCTCCTCCGACCGCGTTGCCCTGTCCGGCTCCCACGCGTCCCTGGGGACAGGAGCAGGTTCCCTCCTGGGGTCGGAGGCTGTGAGCCTGGGCGCATAGGAATGTGACCGGACACAGGCAGCGGGCACGTGCTGGACTGACCGTCGGGAGGTGGGGGTGAAAGTAGCCCCCACCAACGTGCCTGCTCCCGTGAGCTCTCAGCCGGATAGGAGGCGGGAAAAGTGTGCCCGGGGCACTCTTCCAGGGAAAGTGAGGGCCTGAGAGTCAGCAGTGGGTCTCTTGGAGGCCTTTGGGCAGGACAACTGCCCTCTCTCCTGGGCCCGGACGCGCCAGGCCAGTGCTCTTCCAGGGCCACAGCCCAAGCTGCGCCCTCAGTTTCCTGGCAGCGTCACTCCAGACCAGTCCCCTCGAGAGCTGCCTGGAGCCTCTCCTTGGACTGGGCTGGCGTAGACACCAGGATGGGCCCCAAGCCTCAGGACGCCGCCTCCCACCCCCATCTGCTCTGGGAAGACGGCACTGGCAGAAGGCAGGCTCCGCTCGAGCCCAAGAGCCACAGGAGTCCAGAACACAGGGGTGACATCAAGAGGGGGCTGGGAGCAGCACCCGCTCGCCATCAGCTCCGCACGCCTTTATTTTGTGTAAAGGCGCTTTGCAAATGCTGCCCCAGGCCTCCCAACTCTGCTCCCCAACCTTCCCCACCTCAATGTTGAAGTTCCTTGTCCATCACAGATGACTTCCTGAAGGCAGGGTTGGTCGAATTCACCTTTGATCTCCTGCCCCTGGCACAGTTCTGGCACATAGTAGGCATGTCATGAACATTTGTTGCATTAAAGCACTGTGTGAGACCTCACCAATGCCTGTGTCAGCCTGGGGTGACAGGCATTATCATTCCCATTCATCATCCCCATTTTAAATATGAGCAGATTGCCCGGCCGGCCTGGCTCAGTGGTTGAGCATCAACCGATGAACCAAGAGGTCACAGTTCGATGCCCCAGTTGTGGGCTTGATCCCCAGTGTGGGGCGCACAGGCGGCAGCCGATCAATGATTCTCTCTCATCATTGATGTTTCTCTCTCTCTCTCTTTCTCTCTCTCACTTCCTTCCTCTCTGAAATAAATAAAAAAATATTTTAAATATATCCTCTAGTATATATATACTAGAGGCCCAGTGCATGAATTCGTGCACGGGAGGAGTCCACTTGGCCAGCCCCGATCGGGGCCTATTGGGCTGGGCCGGCCAGGGGGAGGGGACTCGGGAGGTTGGCTGGCTGGCCCCAACCCCTGATTGAACTCCCGGTTGAGGGGACAATTTGCATATTAGCCTTTTATGATATAGGATATGAGCAGACTGAAACCCAGGGAGGGTAACAGCCTTTTCTGTGGTCCCACAGTTAACAAATACCAAATCTGGGTATTTAAGCAAGGTCTGTCAAACCCGAGAGCCTTCGCTCTTGACCCCTGTATCATACTGCGTGCC